TGATTGGACAATATGTTTCACGAGTTGCATGGAGCACAATTGATTACAAAATTGACTTAAAAAATGTATTCCATTAGATTCGTATCGAACCCGGAGACGAGTGGAAAACAACCTTTAAAACAAAATTTGGTTTGTTAAATGGCTAGCCATGCCATTCGGGTTGATGAATGCACCCAACACCTTCATGTGTTTGATGAACCACGTGTTGAGAGAATTTATTGGGAAGTTTGTGGTAGTTTAATTTGATAATGAACTCATCTATGTTAGGTGTTTGGAGGATCATCTTGAACATGTTAGACAAGTTTTTTATGCTTTAAGAGTTACTAAATATACGGTACTTTAAAGAAATGCATATTCTACACTAATGAGGTTATTTTCCTTGGTTTTGTCATAGGTGCAGAGAACCTTAAGGTTTATGAAACTAAAGTTCCTACAATTCGGGTATGGGAAAAAGTACAAGTTTGGCCGAAGTCTGGAGGTTCCTTAAAATATGTGGATTCTTTAGGCGATTCGTACCATACTTTAGTGTGATAGCAATTCCATTGACCTATTTTTTTAAAGAAGAATGTTCCATTTAAATGGGAGGAAAGTCATGTAACAACCTTTGAGAAGCTTTGGGATAATTTGACACATGCTCCGGTTTTGGCACTACCCAACTTTGAGTGAGCTTTTGAACTCCAATGTTATGCTAGTGCAGTTGGTATAAGTGCAGGACTATTTCAAGAAAGGCGACCGATTGCTTATTATAGTGAGAAGTTCTATCGGGGAGCCCTGAACTACTCAATATATGATAAAAGAATTATATGCAGTGGTGCAAGCTTTGAGAGTTGAAAATCATTACTTGCTACCAAAAGAGTTCGTCATTCATTCGGATCACGAGACTCTCAAGCATTTGTACGGAAACAACAACTCAGTCAACATCATGCTCGGTGGGTAAGTTTTATTGAGCAATTTCCTTATGCGATTAAATATAAACAAGGCAAGGAGAAAGTAGTTGCCGATGCACTCTCACGAAGGTATACTTTACTTAATCATACTCGTGAGCATTTGGTTGGTTTTTCTCATATTCTTTAATTGTATGATCATGATGTAGACTTTGGCGATATATTTTCGAGTTGTGAGAAGCATGATTTTGATGAATACTATAAACATGATGGCTATTTGTTTCGTTGTGATAAATTGTGCATTCCTAGATGTAGAATTATAGATGCCTTGATTGGGGAAAGTCATGGTAGTCATATGCTTGGGCATTTTGCTAGACATGCTACTTTTGATGTGCTTAGCATTCACTTTTAACTTCACATGCATAAATATATTGATTCTTTTATTGATAAATGTCTTGCATGTAGAGTGGCGAAGAATACTTTAAAGTCCCATGGTATATATACTCCTCTTCCCACTCCGGAAGACCCTTGGTTGGATATTTTTATGGATTTTGTTCATGATTCACCTCGGACATCACATGTTAATGATTCAATTTTTGTTGTGGTTAATAAATTTTCCAAGGTAGCACACTTCATACATTATGCGAAAACGACGGATGCTAGTTATGTGACAAAATTATTCTTTTTGGAAGGTTGTGAAATTGCATGGGGTTCCAAAAATTATTGTGTCACACCAGGATATGAAGTTTGTATCTTATTTCTGGAAAAGTCTTTGCCATGAAACGGGACGCGCCTACTTTTTTCTACCGCGTGTCACCTCCAGAGGGATGGCCAAACAGAGACGATCAATCGCACTTTAGGTAATCTTTTACGTGGTATGGTACATGATAGTGGTTGGACATGGGATGAATGCCTACCACATGCTGAATTAGCTTATAATAGACATGCTAGTACAACTACTGAATTGTGCATCATATTTTAGTTGCAGGGATGGAGCTACATCAATCAAGCAATTACATGCCAAAGTACAGGAAAACATTGATAAGGCGGCTGGTTGGCTGCGACATACGCACACTATGTCAATCACGGTGAATTTTTGACCCGGTATTGGGTATGGGTACATTTGCATAGAGAGCGCTTTCTGGAGTTGCGGCGTGGGAAACTTTCTCCTCATGGAGCTGGTCTATTTCGTGTGTTGGAGCACAGAGCTGATAATGCATACCGTATTGCACTTCCGGAAGACTTGAGCATGAACACGACTTTCAACATTGCCGATTTGAGCCTATTTGACCATGCTGAAGATGCTACTAGCCTTGAGGACACGGCAACCGAAGAGGGAGGATGACATGGCTCCAGATAACCCGAACCCGATCGTAGATGGACCTGTTCGAAGTTACTTGTTTGCTTGGAAGTTACGGTCCCTTGATCTTAATACCAATAACAACATCAATTGGATTGTTTTGAGAAATTTTGGAACCATAATCTCACGTCTATATCAGATTCACCATGAGGAAGTTATTGATTTATCGTAACAACATCACAAGAATTCTATGATTTTGACAAATTCATTCTGATTAAACTTTCAGTTGTATCATCTAAAATATTTTGAAGTTGAAGATTCTAATTTGTGGAGGATTCTGAACACCAGAAGAATTATGAAAAACTGGAGCAAGAACAACCATATCATCATCATCCCTTCGATGTATGAATGTCTTCTTTTAGTTTACATCGTCAAACACCACATTAATTGGTTCCATCACCTTCTAGGTTCAACTATTGTAAACTTTGTAAGCTCTAAAGTTCTAACAATAACTTTGTAATATGTCATCATCTGATCTTGCATTGAACTTGTGCAATTGATCCCGATCCTTTAAAATGTAGCACCTACAACCAAGTGCATGAAAATATTATATATTGAGCTTATTTTCTTTTCAAATCTCTTACGGCATCTTCTCTGAATGGATTCTGAAATACACTTGATTAATCACGTAACATGACGTGTTAATAACTTCAAGCTACAAAAACTTTGTCATGCCTTTGGTATGTATGCCTTTGGTATGCATTATCAATCTTGCCATGTCCTGTAATGTTCTATTCTTCCTGACCTCCACTCTATTTTTTTTCGAGTCTTCAGAGCTGGATATTCATTCTTGATCCACATCCATTACAAAATGTAGTGAATTTTTTATATTTGAACTTCTTTCCATGATCAATACCCAACCTTTTGATCTTTGACTTCTTTTTATTCATAAGTATGATGGTAACTTCTCAAAAGAATCAAATGCATCACTTTTTTCACACTAAAAATCAACCCAACTACATCTAGAAAAATTATCAACACAAAAAAAGATATACTCTTTTCCTCCATGAGTGCAGACATTGACAAGAATCATAAGATCCACATGCAGTAGCGCCAAACAACATTTGCTACCTTATTGTTCTAACATCGGGTGTCCAACTTTCTTTATTATTCTCTTGCAAGTCACCACAAGTAAAACTAAGCACCTTGAGGAATTTTGGTGGACCTCTAATCTTTCCAATCTTGGTGATCCTCACCAAATTCTAGGTGTTGATATGCCCTAGTCTGGTATGCCACACATAACATCACCATCCTTAAGAGTCCATGTTTGCATCTTCGGATTCTCTAACAAGTAGCATTTATTCTTTGAGCGAATACCAGTTATTGCACACTTTTCATCACCATTGTATACCTCACATGCATCTTTTGTGAACTTCACATGCAAGTTGTCATCTCATAGCTAACTGATACTTATTAACTTTGTGCTTAATTCTTCAACGAAATAGACTTTTGAAACTAAAAGAATTTCTTCTTTATCAAGAGTACCATAACCCGTAATCTTTCCTTTAACATTATCTTCAAAAATGACATCACCACTTATGTCTTTGATAAAATTCTTCAGTAACTATGTCCAATTCATCATGTAGTGTGCCATTAACTATCAAATTTTAGAAGACCATACAGGATTCAAGCAACGTTTATAAGTGCATGTGTAGTACAAAAAACTTAGAGTTTAGTGAGGGAATTATTCCCTCGCTAAAAGATAAAATCCCTTACAAAACTTGATTTGTGAATGAATTTTTAAGGCAAAACAAGCCTTTGCAAATCCTTTTGTTGCAACACTTTGCGATGTTTTTCTGTCTATCGCAAAATTATAGCGAGGGATTTTAGTGAGGAATTTTTCTAAGAATTAATTACAATTTATTTAGTGGTTGTAGAGGATTAAATTCTTTGCTAATTTCCACGATAAAATCCTTCACTAATTCTCTTTCTAATTCCCACATTAAATCATTCACTAATTTCCTTGCTAATTCCCTCAGTAAATCCCTCACTAATTTCGTTGATAATTTCCTCAATAAATCCCTCGCCAATTCGCTTCCTAATTCCCTCGGTAAATCCTTGCTAGAATCCCCTGCTAGTTCTCTCGTTAAATCTGTCACCAATTCCCTTTTTAAATCCCTTGCAAAATTCCTCATTAATTCATTCTACCAATTACAATCAAATTACAGTAAAATAATTTCGATAAAAAAAATTAAATTAATTTGATTCCAAATAAATTACCTTTAATCTATTTCAGCTAATTATTTAAAATAGATTATTTTAAAATCAATGTCAGCAATTTCAAATAAATTACAAAAATAAATTAAATTAAACCTATTTCAACAAATTCAAAATTAAAAAATTAAATTAAACCAATTTCAATCAAAATACATGTCAATTTCAACATATTCCAAACAAAAAACATTAAATCAATATATTTCAACAAATTTCAAGCAAATTATATTCAAGAATTTCAACTTATTCCAAAAAAATCACATTCAACTAATATCAATCAATTACAAACAAATTATATTTAACCATATCCAAAATATAATAAAATAAAGCAATTCCAAACAAATTATATTTAATCTATTTCAACCAATTCCAAAGAAATTATATTCAAGCAATATCAACCAATTCCAAGCAAATTAAATTTAATTCTAAAAACTAAACTATTAACAATCATAGAGACAATCATGTTCCACAAGAATAAAGATTCAACAATGTAATCAATTATTGTTTCAATAAAGTAAACATAACAGTATTTAATGTGTCTACCAAAACAAAATATAAACATCAATATACCTAATACATCCATAACCGATAAGAGTATTTATTATGTCTCTTAAAACAAAATATAAACATCAATATACCTAATGCATCCATAACTGATAAGAGTATTTGATATGTCTTCAAAACAAAATATAAGCATCAATATACCTAATGCATCCATAACCGATAAAAGTATTTAATGTCTCCCAAAAAAAATATAAAATTCAATATATCTAATGCATCCATAACCAATAAGAGTATTTAATGTCTCCCAAAACAAAATATAAACATCAATATACCTAATGCATCCATCACCGATAAGAGCAACGCCTGCATCAAGAATCAAACAATGTAATCAATGATTGTTTCAATAAAATAATTATAATAGTATTAATATGTGTACCAAAATAAAATATAAGCATCAATATACAAAATACATACATCCTATGATAGAAAAAGCACCTGCATCAAGAATCAAACATAGATGCATCTAGCCGAGGTTTACTACAATTTTCTTTATACGCAGCATGATCCAATGTAGCAAATAACACTACTTCTAATAAGGGATGATAAAATGCATACACTAAACTTGTTCAAGTAATCTTGATATGTGGTTGTATGATTCTCCTATAATTTAGTACACATATATATAATAAATGAAAACATATATACCTATTTGCCATCTGATTCTGATGCAGGTACTAGTACATCTTTGGTAAAAGGTCTCATTGCATTTATAAAGGAGGCACTCACAACCCAACACATAAAAAGTTTAAATTATATGAAAACAAGCAAATGAACATTGAGTTGCCAAGAAAGGAAAAAAACTCGTGAAAAGAGACACATGTAAGACTAATAATAATGAGCAAATGTTATACTAATTGACATATTCTTTCCTAGACCAATTCATTGATACAATAATGAGAACATTGATATGATAAATAGCAAACTAGTATGTGTTCTTAAACGAAAATTGCTGATTGGAAACAGGGCTACCTGCATTGCATTTACTTCGCTTCCTTCCGATCCTATTACAAGGCGGTCCTCTTTGCAACAGTTTGCTCCTCTTTTGGATTGCTTATTATCTCTTTTATGACAACTTTATCTTCTCTTTCTTTAGCTGCCTCAACCTCTAATGGCAATCCAGCAGTCCGATCAGCAATTCTATCTATACCCTCTCCATATTCTCCATCCTTTATAACCTACAACAAACACTCAAGTATAGATCACCATCCAATTATTACTCTGTAAGAAGAATTGAAACGTAAAATATCCTATAGAAAAACGAAACGGAATCAAGTGCAAAAGGGAATGAATGAATGAATGAATCAAAATGAATAAAAATGATTGATGATGATGCATACAATGATTGCCCATTATGAGTAGAAATTTTGTTAGCTTAGTTTAACAAACGAAAGTCAATAGAATGAAAATTTAAAATTCAACCACATAGTTTCCAAGCAGCAAGAATATGTTAGAAACTGTCTGTCTTTTTATTGTACAACTCCTAACCAAGAGTACAGACAAACACCAAATTCAGCAATATCAATTCCATAGATTAATTTTGAATTTCACAAAAATCAATAGATCAAACCTTAAAAGAGCATCAGACTAGCATTCAGCAGCACACCAGCGCTTCAATTTCTACAGAATGATTAAATGGACAACCTGCAGCAAAGGTATATGTATTATCCCCTTGAGTTCTCAATCATTTCTCAACATTCCATTATCCATTAAACTAATGCAAGTAGTTTTTTAGATGGGATTTTTTGTGAGCTTCCCCACAAACACTCAATATTATAATGAAAGTATTGAAAAATGAAGGTCTACACACAAATACACCCACACATGTGTATGTAATACTACTAGTTTGTTGTATAATTACAACCTTATTTATAGGATAATGCATTATAGGAAGAAAGACTCATCTGGTGTGGGTCTCACTCAAAGTCATGTTAGGATCATGAAACTTAATTTGCTTTATAATTAATAATATCAATAATTGCATCAAATACACAATAAAAAAAACTAATATTTATTTCAATTTCACAAGATGTACTAGAATTAGAAAAACAGAAAAGAAAATTTATCAAGAAAAGTTGCATTAATAACTAACAAAAGAACTTATATAAAGCAGCGCAACAAAATAACAATAAAATATTACCAATGTAAAATCATCTGCACTAAAGAGCTAAGATCTTCTTACCTGTTGAAGCTTGAGTGATTATCAGAAGATCGATTTACTCAGCACCTTCTTTCCTAACCACCTTAGAAGCATCAAATTTAACCTGTTAGGCAGCATGTATGTATGTGGTTTGTCTTAGCATAGATAATCGATTGATTAAAAGGAGAGACTAAATAGCCACTCGCTCACTCACCATATCCACAGGCACAACCCTGGCTAAATGAATTTTAACACATAAATTCAACTAAATCTCACACACAGACATATATATATTCTGACCAACTGACTGAATTCACATTCATATGCATCATCACAGCACAAATATAAGAACATTAGTAACCAAACCCTTCCATAACAAAAATAGTAAGATAAATGTGACATAAACCAAAACAAAAACTGAGTGAATAAATGGTGTTTGTAAATTATGGGCTCCAAAAAAAAATCGTTCATGAGCCTCAATCACTTGACAACAAAAGCACATACACAATTGATCCTTCATTGATCTGAACCAAATTATCCTAAAAAATAACTCCATTTCCACCAACACAATCTCACAACAAACTAGTGAACTTGTAGACTCAAAACATATCATTGATTTCTTAAATCTAACCATTCACCATAATACCAAAACACCAGGCAGTTGAGAAACAACCGAATGATAATTGCTATTAGTGACCAAAGATCATGAGTATTGATCATATCAAATTGAACTCAACACACAAAACTAATATTGAAGAAAATATGGGAAAAATTACACAATCGAAAAGGATCTTGTATCCACATCGATAAGAACATTTTCCATATAGACTTTATTAAAAAATTTACCTATATGCAACTAACACAATGGATGCACAATTAATCATATTCCCAATCAAATACATATTGGACATTAATCTTAAATGAAAAGTAAATTATACAATACCTAAAAATTAGAGAAAACAAAAAGAGCTACCAATTTGTGCCATTTGGTAGGTCAGCTCTACCACCTAGCAGCGTCAACCATCAGAACCACATCATACAATCCATTAGAACCACATCATACAATCCATTATTAAAGAGAAGAAGTAGCAGAGAAGCCAATTGACAAGGAGAAGAAATGATGAAGAAGACACGTGCAGTGGATAGTATATTTAGCGATGAAGAACTTACCAAGCAAACTCCAATGGGTAGAAATGTGAAACACTTTCTGCACATCTCCTTTGCTGGAACAATTTCGCCACAACAAACACATCCGTAAGAAAAACTTGTGTTGGCGCCAGTGAAGGAGGAGGAGAAGAGGAAAAATTGGAGGCGGTGAAGAATCGGAGGACGAAAAGAGGAAGAAAAGAGGAAGAAATGGAGGCGGCGCTGAGTAGGGTAAAAAAAAATTACTATTTCTAATAAATTAATTTTAATTGACAATATTATATATTATTATAATTTTATGAAAAAATATAATATTAATATGAATAAAAATAGAGATTGATATTAATATGAATAAAAATAAAAATTGATATATATAGAAAAATAACACTATGCATTATATTTTATAAATTAATATTTTTATATGTTTAAATAATAAAATTATTAAGTTAAATAAATTCAATGTTTATTTATTTATTTATTTTTTTGTAAATAATAGTTGGCTAGGGATTTAATTCTCTTCTAATATATATATATATATATTTTTTACAATAATCATCGTTAAATTAGTAAATGATTTTAAGGTGCTAATTAGCTAACCAACTTCATTTCAATATCTACCATGATGAAAGTTTGCCAGAGATTATTCCCTCGCAACAATTCATCGCAAACCGTTACTATTGGCAAGGGATGTGAGATCTCTCGCTAATATCCGTAGCTAAATTACTTTATTTTTGTAGTGGTATATGGTTTATTTCTAATCATTTTATATAATTATATGTAGCACACAATAAATTATGAATTTAGTACAATATATTATAATTTTAACACAATAAGCCGATTATATAACACAACACACTATGTAATCCACACAGAAACTGTTAATACAATTTATAGCATAACCTATTATATAATCTTATGTGTCATATAATGGAATATTAATTGCTTCAAGTTAGTGTGTTATTTTGGTCAAATCAGCACCCTAACCTTTGTCTATATTAATATTGTACTTGTATAAGGATTCCATGTCACAATTTGTTGTAATACTTTATATTTGATAGAATATTTTAAGATAAATTAACAAATTTATTGTAATATCTGTCTTGTAAGTTATTCGAGTTTGCTATTTTTAACATATGATGTTTTAGATTGTCATATGACAATTAGCACGTAGGCTTTACGCCGGCCTTGGGCATGACTCCCACACCTAATGTCCAAAATTTTTGGTGTTGAGGGCTTTTTTTTTTCAAATATATATATATATATAAAATAAATATTATAAACATATAATATAAATATTAAATATATATATATAACATTATATATATATGAATATATTTATGTTAGAACTTGTTTGGTTGTATTTAAATTTGATATTACCTCTGTCCGGCTCTAAGAGTCTCATCTATTTTTTGCATATTGATATTTGAATATTGATTATTATATGAAAATATAGTACAAATTAAGAAAAATAATGCAAAAATACTTCAATTAGTGCCTTATAATACTAATAGAAGGGTATTTGTAAAAAAAAAATTATATAAATATAAAGATATTTTTAATATTAAGTACGTAAAAAGTAAATATGACCCTTAGAGGCGGACGGAAGAAATATTTTATAAGAAAAAAATAGTAAATTTTTATTTGTGATAGAATCAAACAAATTTTAAAAATAACTTTTTAAAATAATTAAAATTTATTATTTTTATATTGTTTATATATGCAATAATTAAATAAGGCTGTGCTTTTTACTTTTGCTCGGACCCATCAAAATTCAGAAATGGCGCTGATAAATCTACTATAGTCGGAGTTGATCTAGCAGTCCTAACTATCTGTTTGCTAACCGTGCCAGCTCAGGGCATTTACTCGGTACGTTGACAAGTAATTATGAACTATGTAGAACAAAATAGAAAACTCCAACGAGGAACATAACTACATTCACAAAATCTTATAAAAAAAAAAAACAAAGAAAAAAAAAAAAAAAAAGAAACATAAAAACAAAGACTAAAAATGTCTTTGGACGATTAAATACCTTAAAGAAAAAAAATATACTCCCTCCGTCCCACTTAATTTGTCTATTCTTTCTATTTTTGTCGGTCTCATATAATTTGTCATTTCCTTTTTTGAAATATAATTATACATTTTTATCACATTTTAAAATTCATTATAATTTTTTTTTTTTTTTATTAAACTATTTAATCATCTTCATCTTAATCTATAATTATTTTTATTAAGTTATAATTATTTTTACGAATACACTTCTTAATTACTTACTAATTACAAAATACTTAAAACTTTGTGCCCAAGCTAAATGGGACAAATTAGTCGGGACGGATGGAATATATAAAAGAAAAAAAAATAGAAAAGAAAAAGTCCCCAAATTTTAAATTACAATAATATATAATTCATGGTTTAGCAGTCGTTGAACGTGTTACACACCTCGATCTATACTTGAAGCTTTAAGTGCACAAAAACTTGAGAGTTGATAGGAAGCCTTAATATTAAAGATTAAGCCAGAAAAGATTATTGACTTGCCAAAGATAAGAAGTCATGTCAAAATCATCCAGAATATAATAAATGAAACAAAGAGATATATATACATTCATATACACAAGTCATGACCATAATGCATGCTGCTCCATGCTAAAAACAATTGAAAGAACTGTTGTACAGATAGCTAGTATGCCATATATATATTAACTAATTAAAATTATGGATATATGAATATCTTCATAAAAGATTTCCATATAACTCAGGCCATAATTTGTTACCGCAAATCAAAAAATTAAGAAAAACAAGAAACTACACAAAAACACAAAAATTTGATTACGGACTTTAATGAGGATAAATTATGTCTAGAGGCGGTCAACCCACATTTTCACTAGTATTTTCTGCTTTGAATTACATAGATATAGCTAGAAATATTTAGAAGTATTGGTAAAAAATCCGACCATGCGGCCCAATAAATTGTATGAATAACCTAAAACAAAAAATTCATGAGCACCTGAACTCCAATAAACTCACCGTCAATTTACAGTACCTCTCAAGCTCCAACTTGGGCTTAATAACACATGAATAATCAACATCAAATTTGAGTGGTTTAGAGAGCTCTGTCATCTTTTCATGTGTATCATGTTGTGTCACACCAACTTGTGAGATCATAATGATAATATATATTAATAAATAATATATGTTAGGTTTACATTGCGTCCAAGGCATGCATGAGTGAATATATTTTCAAAGCCCCAAAAATGTATTTAATTAGGGTTTTTGAGTCACGGTGCATGTGCGTGCATGTGCTGTGTCTTTCTCTGGCTGCCCCACCACTGACCCAAATATATTGGCTTTCTTCACTTCTTTATCCCCTTCTTTCGCTCCCATTATTTTCTTCACGTTTCTGTCTGAATTCTCATGTTCTGCTGCAACCTACCTCAGCTTGCTCCTTCTCAAAAGTTAAATCATTTTTTTTTTCTTATCTTTGATTTTTAAGTCTTCTGGATTTACATATTCGAGAGCAATAATATACCTGTGATTCTGGTAGTGATCGAAGCAAGGTATTTGCTACTTTTCTTTCGTATTTGGAAATTAGAATAGTTTCATACATGTAAAAATATGGTTCTTTTAATTCTTGAAAATGTTTCTGTAATACTGTGATTAGCCACTTATTATATTTAGTTTATTGCATACTTAATAGTTATAATATGAACGAGAAAAAAAAAAAAAAATAATTGCATGAAATTCTCATTCAACACCAAAAGTTGAATTGGTTACATATGTCATCCTTATTTTGATGTTAAAATTGAATTTCTATTCCTTCTTTTTACTATTACAGTGAAAAAACTATTTTCTTTGAACAAACTATTTGAACCTACAATGGTATTTTAGCCTTGGTATAAAAACTTCAAAATTTACTCCTTCATAAAATACACCCATGTACTTCTAATAAAGTAAATATAGAAAATTTTGTGCAAAAAAATAAAAAAAAACATATAAGACAAGCGCCTGCTATTTTACATGTTGAAAACAATTTATGCTCATTTTTCTCTATGATTTGTTCCGGGATTATTGGATTATTATTTGTCCCATGGAAGTGTGATTCTGTAATTCATAACAAATATAATAACTGTTCTTGTGTAAAACCATGTTATGAACCTGCATGCAGGATGCGCAATTCTGCACAGCTGAGACATGAATTCTTAAAGGCATGGATAAAGAGTCTGAAAATATACAGTAACCTCAAGAAGAACATGAGCATTTCCCACAGGAAAAACGCTATAAAGCTATCTGCAGATGTTGCAATTGCTTCGATAACCCAGAAAGCCAAACCCTCAGCCTCATCACACAGATGGACCCAATCCCTTATGGCAGATGCTGCGTCAAGTGATGATGGAACTAACAGAATCTTCGTTGAACAAACACTGGGCTACAAATTGGGCAATCGGAAAAAATCCCCGACAACCGGACTTATGACCAAATGCAGCAAGAAGATTTTGAGAAATAATATTCGCGTTTTTCTTGGTAAATCAAGAAAAAGAACGACTCCCAAGCATGCGAAAGCGGGCTCGATTATAGCTAATAAAGGGGTGGAGAAGAGAACACGGTTGCTTAAACGACTGGTGCCCGGGGGAGAAGATATGGACGAAATATCTCTCATGGAAGAAGCCTTAGATTACATTGCCTTACTTCAAGTTCAAAGGGATGTCCTGAAGCAGGTAGCTGCTGTTGCTGAGTCTCTCAGAAACTTAAAAAGTGTAAATTAACTCCTAGCTAGGTGTTCAATGGATCTGCATAATTATTAAACTTATATTATGTGTGTATGCACGATGATCAGACCATTAAGGTTATTCATGTCAGCGATCACTACCAAAAAAAGGTCTTTTCGTAACGGGCTAATGTTCCATAACAATAATCTCGTCATAAAAAGTGATTTATGTTACGATTTATGTCGAAACAAAAAAAACGGGCGGTGGTCAACCTTTTTTTTCTTTTGTTACAAAAATTTATCCGTACCAAATACAATTTTGACAAAAATTTATCTTTTTTTTTTCTTTTGTTACAAAAATTTATCCGTACCAAATACAATTTTGACAAAAATTTATCTTATATATATTTGTTACGTTGACCGACCGTAACCAAAAAAGTAAGTATTATAAATTAAAAAATTTCAGAAAATTAAATCTAAAAATAATTTTAAAAATAATTAAATACAAGCTTTTCATTACTTAATAAATTATTAAGTAATGTTTTGTTAAATTAAAATAAATTTAATATAAAACTTATTACTAAAAACAAAATTAAAAATAAAAAAGCGTCAAAGCGCTTTTATGTCGTCGTTTTCAGCCAACATTCCATATACAATAAATGAAATCAAATTATTTTTCGCTTCTCTCCCTAGACGAATTTACAGAGAAGCCTCAGACTCGCTCCGCCGTCGCCTCCACCTTCGCGCCGCCATTGCTAGTGGAAGGCAGCCCAAAATTCACCTTAAGCTCGCGACCTTCATCACCTAGGTTTGAAGGCGGTCATTCAGGCTACGTTTTAGGGCGCAAAATCGACGGGTGAGTTAAAACAATTTGTTAACCCAACGTATTTGCGTGTTTGAGGATTTTTTATATAGTATAATACTCATCTACTTGATGTTCATTTGTTCGATTAAGTTTTTGCAATGTAGGTTTTTGGATTTATAACCTAGATTTTCCATTGACTGCGTAAAAATCGATTTTGTGGCTTTTGGATATCTTTATGGTTGAAATTATTTCGTATCTAATTACACAAATGTAATGGGTATAGAAGAAGTGGTATCAGGGCTTCCTTAAGCTTTTGGAGGGAATTACTGTAATATTTGAATTTTTGGAGGGGATTAGCAGGATTTGTTTTCCTGCGCTCTTGTCCTTCTCGCCCCCTTGTGACGGGGTTTGCATCTGTAACGGCACCTATTGTGTTGTGCACGCAGAGGAAGGGGACTCCCTTTTTGGCGAGGATTTCAAGAATTTCGAGGATTCGTCTGAAAGTAGTGATGATGAGGGGGATTTCGAGGATTGTTCATAGTGCAGAGCTTATTTAGATATGTTTAAGTAGTAGTTTTTTTTTTGTCTCAATCTACTCCCAACACCAGATTATTTGTTTACCCCTTTCAAACACTTAGTTGCAATTGGGAAATTACAAGCTTCATATTCAAGTTGGTGAAAGTCGGTGGTGATGATTAATTGATTATCACAGCATTTAGCATGCAATGGACAGCCACATTCTTGGTTGTGGATGGCATTTCACTGCTCCAAACAATCACAAGTCCAAACAGATTTTTGAACTTCAGTTTTTTTATTGCCGAGGCATCTGATTTAAGCAAAGAGAGGAATTAATTATTACTTGTCTATTTGAAATTTCCCGATCTTCATATAGAGAATGGAGTGCAAAAAATATGAGGCCATACGGGCAAGGTCAGTTATTCAGCGCAAGATGGAAGAGAATGAGTTTGAAGCTGCTCCAAAGTTTGTTTTGAAAGCGCAAAACCTTTACCCAGGACTTGACAGTATTAGCCAGTTGCTAAGCATCTATGATGCTCATTGTTCAACTCAAAATAGATTAGGATCTGAAAAGGATTGGTATGAAATCGTTCAAGTTGAGAAGCTGGCTGATGAATCAAAGATCAAGAAACAATATCGACGGTTGGCCCTCAGTCTCCATCCCGACAAGAACCGATTTCCTGGAGCCGAGGGTGCTTTTAAGTTGATTTGTGAAGCGAATTCAAAACTTTCAGATCCCTCCAAGAAATCTATATATGACAATACTATTAGATTTTTAGTCAAATCTGGTTATGTCAGTTCAGCTTATCAGCACAGAAACAGTGCTCAAAACAATGTATAAGGGTTTTAGAAATCAGAATCAAAATCAACCTGCAGCTCAACCAGCATCCTCAGGATGAAAATGTGTCTTTCTTTATTAGTGTGATAAAGGAACACTATGATTTTATCAATTCTGAAGATAAGAAATTAAAAAAAAAGTGTGTTGTAACTTTCACTGCCATTATTTTGGAGGTTCTGAAATTTGGTTTGACTTTTATTTTTTACAATTTATTTGCCCTCTGCTTCTGAGCTTATGTGATTACTGCAAGTAGTAGATATATACTTGCTTATGAATTCACACTGTATTTCTGATTCTCCAATAGGAATGGTGTTTAGTGGCAGAAATTTTTGTGCGTGAATGTGCTTAGGGGGTCGATATTATCTTTGGAGATCACCTACGGGTAGAGGACCGTACTCGTACCTGTGCCTGCTTCCGCCAAATAAATTCTGTACGTTATTCATTCCTCCTCTTTTATTTTATGGCCTGCAAAGGTGTTAAATGAACTTCATAACAATATGAGAATTATAGTGGTACATCACTATGCTTAGAGCTTATAGGATATATGGGTTTGGAGATAAGTTTCCTTTTGGAGAGATCGAACAAACATGATTCTGCTATCATTTTTGGTTTTAAGGGGCTGTTATTTTTTGATACTTTAAATTCGGCCCCATTGGAGGCATATGTCTTATTTTTGGTTCTTTATTTTCATTCTAGTGTCTTCTTTTGATCCGGTTAGTCTTATTTCATTAGTTAGTTCATAACAACTAAATAATATTTGTTTCATAACGGTGTTTTTCAACACACCAAGGGACAAGGGACAACACGCGGATAATGAAGAGACTGATGATATTTTGGTAACAACATTTATTTGTTAAGAGCAACACAGTTTTTTGTGTTTTCACCCTCATGTAATGTTATTACGTTTGTCTTCAAACTCATTGTGTTATGCAGGAATATCTCAATTCTGAACTCAACAAAATCCCAACAGATCAGAGAACACCAGCCGTCCGTGAATCTTTATACCGATGAGCGCATGCAGGGAAAAGAAAACGGCGAATGGCGGTTGATGTCGCAGCAACCTCTGCCCAAACCAAGACTCAATTTGCCAGCCATGTCGACAGTAAAGCCATGCAATTACAAATGAAGGAATTTTGCAATGGTATTGCTGAGGTGAAGGCAGTCTTGTCTGAAATTAAAGCTATTAGAGATGAAGTGACTATGTACAAGGCAGAAATTTCTTCGTGGACACCTCCTTCCATTGGACCATCTCCAGAAGCCCAGGTAAGTATGGTAAACTCTATATGTAACGTGGGGAAAAAATATCGACTCTACTAGTTGATGTGAATCCAATGTCTATTATGAAGGGAACTACCCAGTTGGCTGGAAGGAGGGGCGAGTCAGCTGGCACTAGTTCACTTGAATTGATGACGGTTTGTGTTATTAATATGATTGATGTCTACAATAATGTCGTATAATGGTTTTACGGTAAATTTTAATTTGTTTCATGCTCTTAACACAAAGGAATGTTGATAATAGTGAGAAATGTTCTGGCGTAGATTGGGACACGTGTTCGTTTGCTCTCTCGAGGACTGGAGAAACGTGTGGTCAACGAAGGAGTGATGCTAAGCCTCCCTACACCAGGTTCGTTTGCTCTTGATAAGTTGCCTTTTGATTGTGTAGTTGTACAGTGTGAAATGGACATAAAAATGAATCCTGTGTAAGATTGTTATATCTAGCATATGGTTTTATTGTTGTAGGAGATGTCTATTTGGGTTTAAGATAGTTGTATGGTTGAACGTTATTTGTAGGGCTTGATTGGTGGTTATGTTATTGCTATTGGAGAGTTGTGTTCGTTTTTTTTACTGAAGGATTGTCCATCTATGATCGCGGTGATTTATAATTATTAGTGTATGGGTAAGGGGAGTTGGCCCCTATGGTCCATGTTGTGCTATTTATTTTCATAATGTTCAGGGGTCAGCCTATTTTATTAGTGCTTTTCGAGTTTATTTGTTATTGTACTTGTTCCTAATTTAGGGTCCCTAGATCAGGCTAAAACGTCAGTTTTATTTTATCATATTCATCCTCGTAACTAGTGCTCGTTCAACCTATTTATATAGGTGATACCCTAGCCATTGTTAAGGTGTATGTTACAGCTGTAATGGTCCCGGAGACCGCACTTATCCTCCCAACTAATATTGGAGCGAAAATTCTCGGTGATGTACTCGATGGAGATAATATCGAGTGGATTTACCAGGATGTACGCAATTTTTTATTTACTTTATTCTTTTGGAAATTAAGTTACTTCAATTTCTGTAATAAATGCTTATATATTATTAAAAACACATTGCAGTTAGTTCGCCGCCCGTTATTGCAGCCTCCATGATTCTGCACTCGACTAGCTGGGTCATTGATAGTAGTATTTATGAGTTGCCCTTAAGATCGTACTTCCTTATGATATCAGAATTATCTATTTACGTATTACTTTTGGGTTTTGGCGTATCGTTATTTAGTAGGTTGTTATGTTGGTGTATGTATTGGTGTTTTGTTGGGATGTTTTGTTAGCACCGTTGACGACTAATATTTTATTTTTGGCTGGACTATGAACATCGTTGTATTGATGACCATGTGTAGTAACAATTATGATAAGATTAAGTTTTAAATTATTGTCTCGCAGATTAATAATACAAACAAATGGAATTTATTTATAGCGACAAAACTACTATGCCACACAGGGACGTCTTTTGTAGCGTATTTTTAGTTACGGATAGTGGCCGGTACAAATGGTAATGAATGGTTGCCTGACTTTTGTCATGATTTTTTGTTGCGGAGTAATTTCGTAACAAACAACTTATTTGTTACGGGGCAGTCATTTCGTAATGTATTGTTGTTACGGACACATCTTGTAACAAGAAGTTTTCTGAAAAGATTAGACATTTGTAACGCATTTGTTGATTCGGACATATGTCGTAACAAATATTTTTCTGACAGTATTCAACTTTTGTTCCGCAGTATTTGTGTCGGATATTTGTTGGTTCAAAAACATGATTGATGTTTTTGTAACATACCAAAAAACGTAACAAATATAATTAACACGTGCTTATTTTTGAGAGTTGACCACCTAATATTTGTTACGGATTTTGTTGCGACACGAACTTTTTGTATCGCAATTTTTCGTAGCGGTCATAATCCGTAACAAAGTCGACACAAAAAGCTATTTTGCACGAAAAATGAGTTTTAGTTACGAATATTTGATCGCTACAAAAAGATATTTTTTTGGTAGTGGATGAAGACCCATTAATTAGGGTATGTCAAATATAGCCTTTTCTTTAGTGGACTGTGTGTGCGATGTGATTACTGTGATATATTTATATTATCCCATATTTTGCTACATCAGTTTGGAATACCGATCATAGTTATATAGTTATTTTATTTTATTTTATTTTATATTATTATTATTATTTTAAACGTTGGAACCTGCGACCATTGCTAGCTCTTTAAGTACTGTTTGGATAAATTACCAGCCAAACATAGTAACTTGCAAATTAGGTGAATAAGGCAAGTCATATTAAGCGAACTATGTGTGACAAGAAGACTTAGATGCATTTATTAAGATGCGAAAGTTTTTAATACCGATCAAAGTGATTAATTTTTATTTTCTTGTTTTAATATCACAAATACATGTTTATCGATTAAGCCCATTAGGGCAAAGTTACTATCAACTTTGATGATTGGAATGGTCTTTACTTCTAGCACATTTTTGCTTCCTTGACAACTTAATCAATTGAGTTCAGGTAATGCTAGAGTTGTATCGAGCTCATGAAAACACAATCTCAAGGAGAGGTTAATACTTCAATTTTAAGAAAGTTAAACATGAAGCTGGATTTAGTATGATGGACATGGACTACTATTTTTGGATGATGTGTCAAAGTTGTACATTTAAATATCACTACAGTATAAAAATAGTAATTACTTTCGGAAATAACCTTGGAATCTATTCCGATACTATAACACATCTTAAATAATCACTACCACAATAATAGGTTAAAGTTGCGGTAAAAAAAAAGTCACGCCTCAAATATTGGTTGGTGACTTTTTATTGAAAAGTCACAGAACGGAACCATCTCCGTAGATTTTCGCTGGTTACATTTTTTGTGACAATTCTATGATAATAAATTACAGAATAATATCCATGATACTTTCGTAACTTAAAATATCCATGGAAGTTGCATAAACCTCGTGAGTTTATATTGTCACAGATGTTGTGGAATTGCCGAGATTTTTATTTCACAAAAATTAGAACAAATATTATCACGAATGTTGCAAGAAGCCCATGGATTTTCTTACTCACAAACATTGTAACAATATCGTGACAATTTTTAGTGACAAATAATGCAACAATATCGTAACTATTTTTTGTGACAAGTATTGCAACAATACCATGACTATTATATAGTCACAAAAAATTGTAGCATTTGCCAAGATTTTTTTAATCGCGATAATTGTAACAGTTCTATGACTTTTTGTACTCACAAAATATGCAATTATCACAAAAATTGTTGCCAACTTTTTAACGATTTTGTGAATATTTTTTAAAATAATACTGCTATTATATATATATATTTGTATTTCAATATATATTGTAAAGAAAAAACTAAATTAAAAAATATTAACAGACCAAAATACCAAATGAAATCAGATAATAAATATGTGAAGAAGTTTAATGTTATATGAAAAACAATACAAATCGTAATAGAATATCTATTAAAATTGTAGAAAGCCAAACCTAATACTAACATCAATAGTTAAAATAATAATATTCATAAGATAATTGAAATCCTAATATATCAATCAGAATCAAAAGAGGTGGCATTAATTGTTTCATCACTGTCACCTTGCTCAAATGCTTGCTCATGTTTCATTCATGTGTAGTGGGTTAGACACTTAAGAAATTCACTGAAGAAAGGGCTATGCAGTATTAGAGTTATCGTCACAAAATCGTATATTTTGGTTGTGTGTATGTGCAACGAACTGCGATAATGTCTTTATATACTTTCAACTGTAGTACACAACAAGAATGGTCATCTATTAAGTTGAATAAAAAAATTGATAAATAAAGTTAAAAGTAACTATGTTCAAATAAATAAAATTACCTTATTAAGATTTTTTCGTGTTTCTTGTCGTTTTTGTTGCGTGGAGCGAAATTCGTTTAAGGATGCTGTTGGGGGTAGTGGGGGATAACATTGTGTAGAATGAGAAAAAGATCCTAATAGGATTACATGAGCAATCTTCCCACGTGAAATAAGAGCAACACTCGCCATTTTTTTATCAAATCCCTCGTATGCATCATAAGCTCCTTTAGAGTCAACTTACTTATATTACCTTGAGATAACTTACTAAGAATGTCTTAAACAACAAAAATAAATTCCATGTTATGTGTAACAAAAGCAATAACGTAACGGTTACATATTTGAATATGTTATATACAAATTATAATATTCTATCTAATTACAAAACACTATCTAAAATAAAGAGAAGTCAGAAACATAATTAAAAGTTTTCAATTTCGTCGAAGTCCATAAAAACTCTTATTTTTATTTAGTAACTGTTATTTTTTCCCTATTATGTAAAAATCATATGTAAAATAATGAACACTAAGCATATATTCCCACAAAATATCTTCAATGGCCACGGAATAAATAATTCAAAGATATCTTATCAACTATTCTTGATGTATTAGATACCATTTTTCATATACTCTCACCACTTAAACGGCCATGTGTAGTATCTTCTTTAATCTTTCCTTCAGTAAAACTACTCTGATTTTGACGAAATGAATAGTCTCGTGGGAGTAATCTTCGGTGACAGTAAAAATAACATACTTTTTTTTCCATGTCTAAGCCTAAAACATAGATTATCATCCACAAAAATTGGGCACCCTATCTTACCAGTTGTACTCCATCCATACACCATGGCATATGAGGGGAGGTCTCTTATTGTCCACAACAAAGTTGTTTGCATATGAAATCAATGTTTTGTGTTTGCATCATACACAACATACCCATTGTGCCATACTTCCAACAACTCATCTACCAATTGTTGTAAATACATATCTATCAATTTCTTTGGATTCTTAGGACCATGTACAATTATAATGAGAAAATATGTACTGCTTTTGCATACATGTACCAGGAGAAATATTATAAGGTGACAAAATCTTAGGTCAACATGAATAATTTTGTCTATATGTGACAAATGGGGCAAAACAATCAGTATAAAGACCTAACCGGGCATTACGTGGATCAACTGCAAAGTTTTGATGGTAGTTAACAAAGTGTTTCCATGCTGTAGAATTAGTCGGGTGGCACCTTTTTTCTTCATCAACGCTATGAGTTGATATATGCTATATATGATGATATTTTATTATGTTTTAGGCGGTTTTTGGATGAGAAATTTTGTATGTATGCTTCTGATAGTGTGTTTTCGAATGTTTTACTAGGCTTCATGGAATTGGTAATGTTTTGGGCATATTGTGCAAGAAATGAGCAGAATCCAAAAATGTTTTAGGCGTGATCACGCCCAAGGACAACATAATGTTTGAGAAAGAAAATAATAAAAATTACAAAAAATTCCTCTGGGGTAAATTAGCAATTTAAAGAATCTTGGGTATAAAATTGCAAAGAGGATCTAAGGATGAGATTAAGAAGACACGATGTACAATTGAAGAGAAAGAGAGAAACGCACAATCACGTTCTTCACCACAACATCACTTCTGGAAAAAGGAGAAAGACGCAAGCAATAAGACAGAGAGGAGAACTTCGAGAAGCAGTGAAGAAGACTTCCGAGCATTCGTCTTTCAATCTTTTATTGTTCTTCTTTCTCGATTTCCAAATTGAAGGCTTGATGAATTTCTTGTTTCTCTTTGTGTTTTCGATTTCCATAGATTGTGAGTAATATATTTTTCTAGCTTAGGTATGAATTGAAGTTTAGGATATGAATTTGTGAGACTTGGTTTTGATTTTAATTTGATGGTAATTGGTAATGTGATATTTTAATTTCTCTGCTTTGTGAGATCAGAAATCATAAATTGATATTTGTGGTCACATGTTAGTTTGAGATTTCCTAGCTATATTGAGGATTGACACCCGTAATTGTATAATATTTTAAGGAGAAATTAAAATCAATTTTGAACAAATCCTTGTAGCAATTTGGTTAAATTGAATTGAGCCTTTTTAGTTCTCAATGCTATCAAGTCAGTAATACGATGGTCGTACCTATGATTCTCAGTCAATTAGGGAAATATCTAACGGCCGTACCTTAGCTATTGATAAAGTAATGAAAGGTTGGTTGTAAACGCATGCAGATCAACTATAACCAATTTATCTAATAAACCAATAAAATTGATTATGGTCGATGAACAAATATTTGTATCCCGAACGAAAATTCATGCCTAAGCTAGAGTTAAGTCAATTTTGATATTTGGTTTTTTTTTTTTAGCTTAATATATCTTAAGTCTAGTTTGAATTATTTTCTTTCTTAATTTAGCGTAGTAAATCAAATCTCAAACTTCCTCCCATATATATATATACACACATATATATTAATTATAAATTACCAAGTTGTCAAATCTTTATTACTTCCCTGC